GGTTGGGTTGGGTTGGGTTGACCCAAGTTGAGTTGACTCAGGTTGGGTTGGGTTGACCTAATTGGGTTGGGTTGACCCAGGTTGAGTTGAGTTGAGTTGACCCAGGTTGGGTTGGGTTGATCTTGGATGGGTTGGGTTTGGTTGACCCAGGTTGGGTTGAGTTGACCTCATTTGGGTTGGGTTGACCTAGTTGGGTTGGGTTGGGTTGGGTTGACCCAAGTTGGGTTGATCTTGATTGAGTTGGGTTGACCCAGGTTGGTTGACCCAAGTTGGGTTGGGTTGAGTTGACCCAAGTTGGGTTGGGTTGAGTTGACCCAAGTTGGGTTGGGTTGAGTTGACCCAAGTTGGGTTGGGTTGAGTTGACCCAAGTTGGGTTGGGTTGAGTTGACCCAAGTTGGGTTGGGTTGAGTTGACCCGAGTTGGGTTGGGTTGACCCAAGTGGGTTGACCCAGGTTGGGTTGAGTTGACTTGACTTGAATGTGGGACAACACATCCATGACCCCAACCCACCAACCCACCACCCACCCCACCACCCTCTCATCCATCCTTCAACCTCCTTGAAGACCTAGAAGCTGACCTGGAAGAAGGTCATGGTGGACCCAGCATGGATGGTCCCATATTCAATGTTGGTCTGATCAGCCAAGTCATCTGCTGACTCGATGGGGACCTCCATCCTCTGCACCGTCAAGAAGGCCGCCAAGTTGGCCGTGTAGGAGGAGATGATGATGAGGGTGAAAGCCCACCTAGAAGATCAAACCCCACCACCACCACCACCATGATGATGATGATGATGATGACATCTAACCTCCCTTCTCCATCACATCTCCATGGGTCCCACCAAGGTCTCACCAGACTCCGCTGACGCAGCGGGTGGAGAGGGCACGTGGCATCACCTCAGAACCTTGTTGCATGAAGCCACCAACCGGGAACCAGAGGCTGTTGCCCAACGTGTACTGGTTCTCCAGAAGGTTCTGACGTTCCCTCAAGCATGGGTGGGGGTTGTACCACTCGTAAGGACTCAACCTGAAGGTCAGGAGAAGACAATGACAAGGACAATCACCCAGGTCCAGCAGCACAAGGGACATCAAGATCTTCTTGCACCTTCAAAACCCATCGTTGATCCAACAGGGTGGACCTGGAGATCCTTGAAGCTCCTCAAACCCATTGTTGATCCCACCAGGAGCTCCATGTTCTCCTCAAACCCATCGTTGACCCAACAGGGTGGACCTGGAGATCCTTGAAGCTCCTCAAACCCATTGTTGATCCCACCAGGAGCTCCATGTTCTCCTCAAACCCATCGTTGACCCAACAGGGTGGACCTGGAGATCCTTGAAGCTCCTCAAACCCATTGTTGATCCCACCAGGAGCTCCATGTTCTCCTCAAACCCATCGTTGACTCAACAGGGTGGCCCTGGAGATCCTTGAAGACCTCAAAAACCCATCAGTGATCCCACCAGGAGCTCCAGGACCTCCCTGTTCTCCTCAAAACCCATCAGTGATCAAGCCATCAGTGATGCCACCAAGATGTTCCTGTACCCTCAAAAGCCATCAGTGATCCCACCAAGACCTCCCTGTTCTCCTCAAACCCATCAGTGATCCCACCAAGATGTCCCTGCACCCTCCAAACCCATTGTTGACCCAACAGGGTGGCCCTGGAGATACTTGAAGACCTCAAAACCCCATCAGTGACCCCACCAGGAGCTCCAGGACCTCCCTGTTCTCCTCAAAACCCATCAGTGATCCCACCAAGACCTCCCTGCACCTTCAAAACCCATCAGTGATGCCACCAAGATGTCCCTGTTCTCCTCGAACCCATCGTTGACCCCACAGGGTGGACCTGGAGATCCTTGAAGACCTCAAAACCCCATCAGTGACCCCACCAGGAGCTCCAGGACCTCCCTGGAACCCCAAAACTCATCAGTGACCCCACCAAGATGTCCCTGTTCTTCTCAAACCCATCGTTGACCCCACAGGGTGGCCCTGGGGTCTTTGAAGACCATCTCAAGGGCTTTTGGGTGGACATTTTGGAGAACCCTTGGTTTTTGGTGGGACCATCCCAAGTTTGAAGGTTCTTGAGATGTTCCTGAGGTCTTTGAAGACCATCTCAAGGGTCTTTGGGTGGACATTTTGGGTTGTCCTTGGTTTTTGGTGGGACCATCCCAAGGTTTATGGGGATGGTTGACCCAACAGGGTGGGATTATGGATCTTGAGATGTTCCTGG